CCTTGTGTCTTAGTGGCTTTACTGCCTTGCATGGGATGATAACGATTAAAATAATCCATGACTACACTACTCCTGGTGTCTCCAGCGCTATTTAAAATATTTCTCAATCCCCACATTTGGGCAAAAGAACCCACGTTAAGAATCACTGTTCCTTCGTTTACCTAGGCTCAGAAATTCCCAACACATGCGATCACTTTAGGGAGATGAAAAGAAGACGTGATCTGGTTGCAGGCGTCATGAGAGTCCTCTAGAGATCAGTATAAGTTACGAATCTAAAACGTTACGAGTCTCTCTCTCTCTCTATATATATATCAGATTGACTCAAAATTAATTGCCGTTTTGGAGAAACATGACGGATGTATCATCCTTACTAACCGATCATTAACTATATATATACAATAGGCGATGAAAAGTTGATTGCATACGACAATGTTTAATGTAAATGGCACTGGATAGATAAAAATAAATATTCACAACCAACACCCCAAGCTCCATGGAAAAAAGGTAATGTCGTGTATGTGGAGTGATCTGTGAGATATTATCTATTTACTTCTTAAAACGCAATGAAACGCTAAAATGCACATTTATTTATTCATTCTCTTTCATTCCCAGTAACCCTTTGCAATTTAGTGATATTATTACCTGGCTTAGTCGATAAAAATAGTCGGAACGTTTATCGATATCAAGATCTAAAAAATGATATTTTGAATTTTGTAACACTATTCATATTCTGACTATTGTCCTCATCTTTGTTGCTGTTATCACAACGTTTCAACCTTTCTGCCCCCTGCCTTTCTCAGGCGTATATTGATCTTCGTAACCTACAAGGAATTCTGAACCGAAACATCTATTTAATCTACTAGAGTAAACTGTTCATGTCTAGGGATATCTCGTTTAGTTCTTATTTTTTGTACTGCTCGTCCATTTCCACTGAGTCCAAATACACATAGACGGGCACAAGGATTGAATTCACAATTAGGATGCCATAAAATTCTTGTACCAACCCTTTAATTCACTCGGCTAACGGGTGATGACAGCAAAATGAGAACAAAAGCTTTGATGACAATAAAGATGAGAACAAAAGCTTTGATGACAACAAAATGACAAGTTTTGACGATAATAAAGATGAGGATAAAAGCTTTGGTGACAACAAAATTAGGACAAAAGCTTTGATGACAATAAAGATGAGGACAAAAGCTTTGACGACAACAAAAAATGAGGACAACAACCTTGATGACAACAAAAATGACAACAAAATGTTTGATAACAGCAAAAATAAGGACTAAAGCTTTGATGACAACAATAATGAGGACAAAAGCTTTGCTGACAATTAAGATGAGGACAAAAGCTTTGATAACAACAAAATGACGACAAAATCTTGTATGACAATAAAGATAGGGACAAACACATTGTGGCAACAAAAATGAGGACAAAAGGTTTGATAACAAAAAATGATGACAGCAGCTTTGATGACAATAAAGATGAGAACAAAAGCTTTCATGACATGATAGAAGGGGATGAAAGCTATGATGAAAACGAAAATGAGGTCAAAAACCTCCATGACAATAAAAATTGGGACAAAATCTTTGATGACTGCAAAAATGAGGACAACAGCCTTGATGACAACAAAGATGAGGATAGAAGCTTTGATGACAATAAAAATAAGGACAACAGCCCTAATGACAACAAAAAGGAAGACAAAAGTTTTGATGACAACAGAAATGATGACAAAAGCCCGAATAGAGTAAATAATAATAATAACTCCTCATCCCAGATTGATTTCGTTTTCCGGCCAGTCTAGATATTAAAAAAAATCGTCTACAATCCTCACGTAGAATAAACATGGATATAGCACCGAGATTAATATGTGACTGCTGATTGTTATGGAATCGACTATCGATTGCGAACACCTTTCGACATTGAAATATTCGCACTGAATATGAGGAACGAGTAATTTCTTGGTGCCAATTTTGCAGACCGCCAATCACCAGCATCGCAGTTGTCTACCCCTCCTCTTCCTCCTTTTCGTCCTCAGATTCTACTGATGAACGAGTGAACAGAACCAAGCAAACAAAGACTCCTCAATGCATACATCAAATGGTCTTACTTTTTCCACTCACGTCTCTGGTAACCATGGCAACTGTCTATTGAGCGATAGCTATTGCCTGTCTCTTCTCTAGATGCACACCCCTTCCTCATCCAAAGCTACCTTCCCACCCAACCAGAATCTGCCTCATGCAGTTTCCTTATCAGCTATAGTGCACGTTTCAAATCAATATTTCTAGCGTTTCATTTTACCGTCACATGTGTTCGTGTGTCGGAAGATGTCAGTCGAGCCTGGTAGTCTACGGAGTATTACAGTATACTCTTTGCTGTGGGTTTTTTTTTTTGGCTCGTAAGAAGCATGGATATTCCTGAGCGACATGGATAATGAAGACGAGTGGGCGTTTCCAGCCCAGCCAGGTAAGTAAATATATATCCGTGCGTTTGAAAGATGTTGCCGTTTTTAGTTATTTGGCAAACGTACAACTGGAAATCTACATAGGTTAATACATTCACATAAAGTCGTCTCTTGCGTCAATGACCTATTCATCAAATTCATCATTTATTCTAAACTAACGACTCTAATGATCAGGTCTCAAATTCTCAAGAACATACCGTCGGTATTAATTATTCGTTTATTAAAAGACATTCATTCCTGAAGCGGTCGCATAATTGCAAAAATGACTCCAAATCGATCAATAAAAATAAAATTCTTCTTTTACATCTAACAAAAGATGAAGAATAGATGAGGACAGAAGCTTTGATGACAATAAAGATGAGGACAAAAGCTTTGATAAGAAGACGAGTGGCAACTGAAACTGACCACACTCTCGTTGCTTAACTTTGATCATCGTACGGAAACCAGTGTTTCAACGTGCTGTGGCAGTAAGCCTCTAAGTCTTAATAATTGAGTTTAGTCTGCTATTTAACAAAATCAACCAAACATTATGTCAACAGCAATGATTCAGATCATATCGCGAAAATGGTTCGCAAACATTTATTCAAAAACCATTTATTCGAATTGTAAATTGTTTGAATGAAAATTAATCAAAGGGACAATTATACTAAATGATAATTATTTGAAATATCTACGTTTGAAATACGTATGTGGTCTTGTTTTGAGAGAGTCAATGCTGATTTACCTTGAACTAATAACGCCCTTGAAGGATGGCATAGGGCTTTTCTTTTTTCATCCCTCAATATAGAAATTCCCAGACATTCTTAAAAGAGAACAGGACTTGCAAGAAATTCATATTACAAAAGTAAAAACAAGTTACCAAAATACCAAGAGCGCCAAGAAATACGGCGACGTAAATGGAAAACTTAAATATTAGTGACATCCTTTAACAAGTATTCTTCAGTAGTTGACTATTTGCATACAGGATCATGTAACTTAAGGTTATAAGGATTTTTTCTTATTAAATTGTTTTTTTAACGATGTTTGTATTTCGAATAAAGCTGCACATTTATACTTCCAGCAGCTGCAACATGTCTATAAAATTTTAGTCGAATAGCGTCCTGCATTCTTCAATAGTAGAAACTTTTTTTTTATCCGCTACACAAGACCGCATACAGCACGAATATCAACGGGAAAATGTTAGAACTCGTTAGACCTGACCTTGTACCAACCAATTATTACCCTTTTCGATCGCTGCAACACACTTTGATGGGGAGAGCTTTTTTCTAATGAAAAGCAGATTCAAGAGTTAGTCGAAAACCTTTTCACACTAAAACATGCTGAGTTTTATTCAAAAGTTAAAAAAGCCTGATAAGTGGCAACAAGCCATTGCAAAAAATGGTGAATATGTAACCGAATAATATGTATTTGTACTTTATTTTTGAAGAATAAGGTTGATAAAACGTAAATTATATATAACTCAACCTAATGCATTCACATGACGTCCTTCTAATATATTCGACATCCTATTGATACGAAACAAGACTAAATTAGATTTGAATGTTTACAGCAAACTCACAAACAAAAATGATTTAATCAATTTCTATTTCCACCACCGACAAAAAAAAAAAGTAAAATAAAATCAGGACAAAACTGAATAGTGATTTGAACCCCAGTCTCTTTATTTTCCACGTTGATGGCACTTGCAGGACGTCTAGACCTTGGGTAATCTTCAAGTCTCTACCTTCCCATCCTAATTTCAGAGGCCCACTGTTGATAAAGCTGGGGCGTCTGCCCCTAGTGTAGCAACCATGTTAGCAGGAAAGTCCTTTGCTACTGGTTCCTGATGCCAAATTTTGTCAATTTTCAAGAGAAGTTGCAACTAGTTACTTTTGAAGTCTCCTTTGAAAAGCTAGATTTCAGTTTATCTGGAAAAAAAACAACGTGGTTATTAATAAGAGTTGGAATAAATTCATGCAAGGTTTCGCAACTTTAGCATCACTTTTCATCCCACCCTCGTACAGAATGTAAGTCGTTGGAGCATATACGTATTAATGTCGTGAGCCTACGTCCCAGTCATAGTCACTTATCAATTCCATGGATTTTGTTTACCAGATTCAATTTCCGACATGGTGGTTTTAATTGTTTGCCAGAGGTCAGCTCAGTTGTCATATTGCCAACTTTGTATAATTTAATCTTCACAATTGACCATATATTTTCGATCAAATGGGGACGTGACCGCAGCTATACAATTATTTGGTCACCTTGTAAACATTTTACACTTCCGTGATTGATTGATTTTTTACGGCTTATCAACTTTTGCAGCTTATTCAACCTAGCAAATTATTTTTAGATTGTAAGAGGCTTTGAGATAATAATGGTTTGCCGATACAAGTTTTATTAATTAACCCATAGCGGGGGAAGTATAGGTGGATACCCAACTTTCTCAAGGACATTTGCGCGTGTAAGTGAATATAATGAACCCAACTAGAATTGGAACTCAACACACCGATTAACAATTGCGAGCCATTATCCATAACACCACCCACACATCCAAGGTTACAGAACATGGTATTCCAAAGCAGTCACCCGTCAAAGTACTGACCAAACTCGGCGTTGCTTAACTTCGGTGATCGTACGAGAACCGGTGTATCAACGTGATATGGCTGTAAGATATACCACACGAACATCCAAGCATACAGCGCATGGTATTCCCATCTAGAAACTGACCACACTCTACGTTGCTTAACTTCGATCATCGTACGGAAACCAGTGTTTCAACGTGTTTTGGCAGTAAGCCTCTAAGAATTGAGAACTGAGCTTACTCTGCTATTCAACAAAATCAAAAGATTTATTAATATCTTCTTAACAGATTAAGTCGGAATTTTAATAAAATAACCGAATATTCTAAGACAAATTAGTTTACCCATAGCGTGTATGTGCTTATATTTTTTAAAAAATCCATTGGTAATACCATATATTCGCGTATAATGCGCGATCTCGCGTATCGTGCGAGCCCCAAATTTTCACTCATAAAAAATGATTTTATAATGTATCTCGTGTATCATACGAGTTCTTTTTTGAGAGACCAAATTACAACAGACTAACCTCTAACATTTTCTTCGCAAACCGGATGTTGACCGCTTGACGACCCAAAGCAGACTGCGTAAATATGTTTTCTGCGCATCGGCTCCACGCATACATCCGCTTTAACCAAAACAAAATAATAATACATTATGACCAGTCAGAGCCACTCTCGCTCAAAAACCAAATACTTAATTTCAAGCCGACTAAAAGCTATATATACCCAAGTACAAAAAAACCCTATACAAATAAGTATTTGATGTCAACACCGACAAGCTGAGAAAGAGACCCGACACAGAACAGCCTTTGATCTCAACACCAACACGTTGAGAGATGAACGCCACCAAGGACGGCGGCCACCACTAATGTCCATTTCACTTTTAATCTCACCACTTTTTCTTCCTGTTGCCATAACAACAGCAACAGATAGAAGTTACTAGTTTTTTGTACATATGTAAATAAATTATACCATTATTTAACCATAATGATGTCCTTTGTTTAATGCTTGGATTTAAGTTTGCCTTGGCAGAGAAGGAATTAACCTCCACAACAGTAACAACAACAACAACGACAAGTTTCTATCTTCCAAATTACCCATGTCCGCCTCCTCAATAGTAAATAAATAAACTTTGAATATATGTCCATATTAAAGGTTTATTGTTTTTACTCATAGGATGAAGATTTGGCAGTTGATGACTTAAGTAAATATTCTATCAGTGTAAATATTATATATAGATACTGAAAGGAGAAAAGAAAGAACTGTGAGAGAAAATCGATTTTTGTTTCTTTTTTTTTCTGACCGTTCAGGTTTCTTTTTTACTTTCTATTTTAAGTTCATCAATTTTTCTTTCTTTCTATTTTTTTTTTTTCCTCATAGTTCAACCTTCTTTCTTTCTTTCTTTCTTTCTTAACTTCAGTTTGCTTTTTTTCTTTTTCATTTTTTGTTCAGCACGTTCTATTTCTTTCTTTTTCCTCAAAATTCAGTCCTCTTTCTTTCTTTCTTTCTTTCTTTCTCAATGTTCAGTCCTTCTCTTTCATAATCCGATAGATTTTCCTATTTTGACGCTAAAATCTTTTCCCCGGAAAAGCTAGAAAGTCTACAAAATAAAAGAAAACGCATATATGAGTCTATTTAAAAATGACTTAAAATGAGTGTGGATTTTAACTCCCCATTGGGACCAATATTAGTAAAATAAGTTTTACCTTGATGGATGCCAAAAAGAAGGTCAATAGAAATGTAAGTTCGTTGATAAAATCAAAGACGCTTTTGATATGAGACTGAAATGGATAATGGCTAAGCAGTGAAGATATCTTCTTTTTTTGATACTTGTAAAATCTGGAATAGTTCTGTCTAAATTTTCATTCATGCTGAATGTAATTGAGAGCTAAATAAAGGAGAAGAGAGTGTTTTTTTCTTGTTTTTTTTTTTAAAATTAAGACTTAAAATCGATTGTAATCGTGTCCATTAGACACACGTGGCTTTGTTAAATTCATAAGAACAATGGCTGGTTAGTTTCTGTTTGAGTAGCAAGAAAAAAAAAAGAAAGAAACTCTGAACTAAAGAAAGAAAGAAAGAATACTGGAGTGAAAGAAAGAAAGAAAGAAAGAAAGAAAGAAAGATGAACTAAAAGAAAGAAAGAAAGAAAGAAAGATGAACTAAAAGAAAGAAAGAAAGAAAGAAAGATGAACTAAAAGAAAGAAAGAAAGAAAGAAAGATGAACTAAAAGAAAGAAAGAAAGATTGCAGGAGTAAAAGAAAGAAAGAAAGAAAGATTGCAGGAGTAAAAGAAAGAAAGAAAGAAAGAAAGAAAAAGAAAGAAAGATTGCAGGAGTAAAAGAAAGAAAGAAAGAAAGAAAGAAAGAAAGAAAGATTGCAGGAGTAAAAAAAGAAAGAATGCCGAAGTAAAAGAAAGAAAAAAGAAAGAAGAAAAAATAGAAGAATAGAAAGAATACTGAACTAAAAGAAAGAAAGACGTTTAAACTAATAGAAAGAAAGAAATAAAGAAAGAAATTGTGCCAAACGACGCTTCAGCAGCCATTTTATTTTATTCAGATTTTTTCATTCTTTCTTTCTTTCAGTTCAGTATTTTCTTTCTTTCTTTCTTTCTTTCTTTTACTACAGCATCCTTTCTTTCATTCTGTCTTTCAGTTCAGCATTCTTTCTTTCTTCATTTCTTTCTTCCTTTCTTTTACTACAGCATCCTTTCTTTCATTCTCCCTTTCAGTTCAGCATTCTTTCTTCCTTCCTTCCTTTCTTTCTTTGTTCAGTATTATTTCATATTTCCAATATATGTGTGTGCGCGCGTGCACATGTATATATGTATCTGTGAAAAAGTTCCTATGGGCATCAGAAATCATTGATGAAAACTGTGGAAATGATTCGGTTGGAGGCAACACGAGACGCGGCATGACGTCCCTTTCCAAGTCGGCCTACACGAAATTCCTTTTGATATAAAATGAGTAGAAAAATTGAATTAATGAGAGAAGTGTCTGAAGTCATGTAAAAGGTTTCGTTTCAGCTTCTTGTGACCAGCGTTGAAGTAATCATCAGTGCTAAATTATTCGCTAAATTTCAAACTATCTTCGTCTATTTTTGAACGTATTCTAACCATATATCCCTTCGTTAAGCAACAAAGTATCTTACCCATGTTTCAAACACTTTTCTATATTATTTTGTGTCGGATCATTTAATCTGTTGTATGAAAATTTCCTCTTCGTGACAATACGTTAAAACGACGGACTTTAAGAATTCAGATTTATTTTTCGGAAACTAGCACAACTTCAAGCGTGTAAATTCGTAAATAAATTCCTTGTCTTGTTTTGTTAAAATTACCTGCGTGTTTCCTCGTCATTTCCATCCTTCATTAACCGCCATGATGTGGGTAGATAAATCAGCTGTTTCTGTTTAAACGGTGCACAATGTAGATTGTAACACATCGATCACCTTTGAATTTCCAGACATTTTTGTATTAGGATATGCATCGAAGGGCTGGATTGACCATTAATCAAAATAATCACGTGACTTAGGGCACCAAGAGAAGGGAGCACCATAGAAATTCTTATGATGTGACGTTATTATTATACACGTCTAAAGAAATAAGTCAAGCACGATTAACATTTGAATCTACCGGGCGGCATTACGAATAGGGAGACGACTGACCTGCGGCGAATCCTTATTGCGATTCTGATTGGTTAATAAAGGAATAAGCTAAGGGAGATAATGCGGTTTGTATTTACTTAATACATCACATCTCGCCTCTTGAATAAATTAGTATTACTAATTAAATTTATGGGATTTCATTTCTGTGGAGAATTACAGGTCTAGACTTCCGCCATGTTTGTTTGTCATTATTCTGCATACACGATTCTATAACGGTCTTGTTTCTTGATTAAATGATTACTTCTGGTCACAGTTCTGTGAGAATTTGCCCGTGGCTCATTTGATTGGCTACTCAGCGGCGAATGGTTCTTTCTGGCTGGGTTTCCAGGAAATTGGTGTTGCTCTGTGTTGGAACTGATGACCGGCCTCTCTCGATGGCCGTACGTGTCATCGCTTTCTTCGACATTTAATATCAGCTGGCGTTTCCACAATGAACGCTCTCGGCTGGTGTCCCTTTTTTTGCACTACACGGCGAAACTCCATGCTAGCATAGTGATGTAATGGGATAACCTGTCACCCCCATGAGTGACTACACTATAGGTATTAACTACCTATAAGTATCTGTAAGTCAACGTTCAAAGTTTGTTAATCTAGCTGCGACCTGTTCCAGCTAAATAGTCGAACTCTCTGTCTTCGGGCAGAGAGGAACCCGGACGAGGATCCGCCGAAGGGCAGGGTCTCGTTCGGGGAGGTAGACTGACCCTGGACCCGTTTATGCGGATTCAAAAATGGAATATTTTTGGCCGAGCTTACAGGCTCGGAAAACCCACGTTAAACCGGCCTTGTGCCACATGCAACCCTCTTGCGGGGGGGGTAGCTAAGTATACTAGCTGGGATCTGTTACTCAGCTCTTAGCTGTTGTCGAACTCTGTCTTCGGGCAGATAGTTCCCGGACGAGGCTATGCCGAATTGTAGAGTCTCGTCCAGGGAGGTAGACAGACCCGAACCCGTTTATGCGTGGTTACGGGGAATTTTTGGCCGAGCCTATGGGCTCGGATTACCTCACATTAAATTCTACCCCGTGGGGAGTTTGGTAAATATTACTAGCTGGGATCTGTTGAGCACAACTCAGACTTACGCGAGAACTACCGACCTTCCAATAGTAGCACTCACTACTGGATTGACTTGCGACGACCTTGTGCATAACTGTTACCTTTATTCTTATTGTACTGATTTTGTACAATAAACCTTTACTTATATTATCCACCTGGTTTTTCAAGTATATATTCCTATTAGCATAGAATATAACACATAGTTAACTCACGGATGTATGGAGACCCCAAAATCTTTTAAGTGTTTAGGGCTCCTATGAGTCTTAATCCGTCCCTAATGCAATGTGAAACCTTTGTTTTATCTTTTAGTATTTCACTGTAGAGACTGAAATAATTGCACTATTCAAGCATTCGCCGATTCTCACAAGAAATCTTC